CAAATTTAGACCCATTGCTATTACCTCTCCTGTTTTGAAAACTATGGAGAAATTACTTTTACTTAGTCTTGTACCTTCGCTTAAATCCTTTAATGACCCTAAACAATTTGCCTATAAGCACAGTAGAAGCACTTTAGATGCAGCTGCCGTCTTATACCATGACATTGCTTCCAGGCTAGACAAGAGGGCTAAATTTGTTCGTTGTGCCTTCCTAGACTATACATCTGCTTTTGACTCGGTCCCTAGGGACATCTTATTAAATAAACTTGCAGCCAGTCAAACAGAATGTTGGGCTGTTAACTGGTTACATTCCTATTTCTCAGAAATAAAGCAGTACACCGTATATAAAGGGAAGTCTTCCACTTCATTGCCTACTGAAGCTGGTGTCCCTCAAGGCACTGTCCTTTCTCCTTTTCTTTTTTCTTTCTTCTTACACGACTCGCCTCACTCTGATGAAATAAGCTTTGTGAAGTACGCTGATGATTTAACGGTTTCAATGGCTGTTAACTCCCAGCTAGATTGCACCAAAATAAATAGCTTTCTATCGGGAGTCAGTAAAAGGTCTGAGTCTAATGGTCTTAAACTGAATCCTTCTAAGTGTCGAACTGTTGATTTCAGCTTAAGATGTAAATGACAGTTAAAAGAAGTCATCGATTCTCGTGACAGTTGTAAAATTGACGACAATGATATGGGAATCAAATCAGAAATTAAGTATCTTGGACTCATTCTCTCTTCTGATCTCTCCTGGTCTTCCCATGTGTTAGCAATCTCCAGTAAAATATTCCGCCTGACATTTTACATTAAGAAGTTAAGACACTCGGGTATAACTCAACCACTCCTCTTACAGTTCATAAACTCTTGCATCCTACCTATTCTTCTTTATTGTCCACCCTTATTCTTTCCTGGTTTGCTTAAAAAAGACTATATCACAATTCGTAGAATACTGAAGACTGTCAGTAGGGTGAGTGGTGTCCCAGTGGACCACATAGTTAACGTCGTTGTCGATAGGCACTTGACTTCGTGCAATAAATTTGCTAAAGGGATTTTGTCTAACTTGGAGCATCCGCTTTACCCTCAGCTTTCACCTTGCATCTCCTCAGGTAGAACAAGGAGTAACTTCAGAAAACTGTATGCTCGCACATCTAAGTACAAAAATTCTATGATACCATACTTGGCACGTATTTTATGTGATGAAAATAGTGTCAGACAAGAATTAACTAACCTTTTTTCATCTAGTAAATAAACAATTTCCTCCATCCATCCTTATATACCTTCAAGTTTTACTTTTATTATTTCTATTATATTTATGGTCCTGTTACTTTTCTGTTTTCTACTCTCAGAATTGCAAACACCAACTTATCTCCATGACGGCTGTAATCTTTGTTTTTCCCTCACCATATCATGTAAAAAGAACATTATATTCAATATTTTTAAACATGTTAGGATTTCTATATCACATTGACAATACTGTGTGACACAAGCCAACGGCATTTTTCACTTGTATTCTTATTATTATTACCCTAGCTGTTATCATTATTATTGTTATTTCCATTTTATATGCTGCATGTTTTTGACACTACCTCTATTGTAAATGTGGAAAATTTTCTGAGTGATTAATTTTTATTTATAATTTGAGGAAATTAGATGCAATAACATTGTGATTAATGCTGAAAATTCTATTCTGTATCACAAGTACTGTTTTTGAATAAAGCAAATCATTATTAATTATTATTGAGAGCTCCAAGAATCTTCTGCCAGAAGTCGAACACATGCTTAGATGCTGCCATTCCACTCCAAACACTAGAGGTTTCCCACATAGAAAGTCATTTATAAAACGATAGGATCGTACGAAACTGAAGAGACTATCGACACTTACTTCAAACACCACGATTTGGCACGCTAGGTTTAATACTTAACACCCTTAGCTCCATCTCACAAGTTCCAGATTTGAGTATGAGAAATGACGAACGCACCGCAGTAGTCAGTCCTGCTAGGGTGTATGCTCTCATAGAAATCCCACAGAAACGATTGAACCGCAAAACCCCATAGAAAAAGTATGCTATGCAATAATTCTGCAGACATGTGTGAATTACTAAACAAAACGAGATTTTGAGCGAACAATTGTTTTCGATAACTTCTTCTTCAGGCTCTACAGTTATAAATCCATGAATAATAGAGTATATATAGCCAGTAAAGGCAAATGAAAATAATACCAGAAACTGTTTTGTGGTACCTTACATTCCTTCGATGGTCTCTCGAAAGTTTGAGGCAGAATACTCATAGCCTCAGAGTATCCTTCGTTAGGGGGCATGAACTTACAGCACTGTATATCTCCTGAAGCAACTCCAGCGCACTACCTCATCAAATACATCAACTTCATTTCATCATTTAATAAAAAACTACTCAACATGACTTCAAACTCCTTTACAAACTGTAAATAGTCAGCTGGGTTTCCGTCGGAACACCGAGGCTCAAATTTAGGCCTATTATCCCTAGACGGCGAAACATGAACAACAGACCCATCATGCTGAGCATCATACATATCATTACAATTATCAAACAACTCAGCATCACTTACTTTCCTGCCTGCTTCCAAGACTCTCTATCTCTTCTTTGACCCAGGCATCATTGAATTTAACCAAAATTCCAGAAAAGTTCCAGATAATACCTGTCTAAAGAAGACTAGAAGGCACCGGGAAAGACGAACGGAAACTATCCAAAAACTATCAGAATCTGTCAGCCAAGTCTCATAAACTGTCAGTGACTGGTACAAAAGTATGATGCTTAATAATGTATGTTTATACCATCATAAAATGTAATACAAGTCTCTAATAATTTTGAGCCCGTGAATGTCATTTGCATGTATGAATCATGGGGTAGCATCGACAGTTGAATGTAGCGATAGTATTTAACATCGGGAGAAGTGAATAGGGACGATATGTTCTATGAGTGTATATAGTATAGAACAATTAGAATACATAGAATAAACAAGGTTATCAGGCACTTTAGGAGGTTAATAACAGTATTATCGGTTCAATGAGTATATATATGTTTATGAGTGTCACAATGTGTCTCGCGTGTGAATTACGCCAAATGGATAATAGATAATCAATGGCTTCGTGGTTTCAGTGAGCGGACAACATCCTGATAAAATAATCCGTGAGTATCCTATCATTTACCAATATCTCCGGATCATAGGAAGACTTAAGGTGGGTGGTAATCAGGGATGGTATTTGGTTTGGACATTGTATGCAATGAGAGACACCTTTGTGATAATCAGATATTAATACATTAGAGATATTAGTATCCGCGTTTGGTGTTGACACTGTGTCAGCTATCTCCCGGGATATATGCCTTGCCCTTGCAAGCAACATTCACATGCTCAAAATTATTACAGACTTGTATTACATTTCATGATGTTCATCAACTGGTATCAATCAGTCGTCGTCGGTGTTGTCGTCCACAATGAAAAAGTCGGCCATGAACTCAAGTGTCTTGTGCTATGATCATGATAGTGTCGGTGCATATGTATGTACAAACACTTCTAACTGACAGTGCTTCGGAATAAGTGCACATCATTGTGTTCAACATGGGCTGCTGTGCTAATTTTTCCACACTTCTGTCGATTACTTTTGATAGCTCAATTGAGTAATTTACTTTCCTACATTTATTCATCTTTACGAAGGTTACTTAAGTTATTTATTATTCATTATTTTGTACTTTTTCTATTGATTTTTTGTTTTGATTTGTACTTTATTTTCGTGTGTGTGTACTCAACTTGAATATTGTAAAAATTGTCCATTCGTGGAGGCGAATGGACAATTTTTATTTAATATTCAAAAATAAACACGTTAAGTTAAGAATCGTGCACGAACGAACGAATGTGACACGACGGAGTACCAAATGGCGTGGATGATTGACCAGAAGCCTTCAGCTAAACAAGTTGAAATAAACAGTGAGTGTCGGCACCCAATTTTCAGTGATGAGTGCTGTGGTCAATAATTTCGGGGAATTATTTACTGCTACAAAGGTTAAGTGTGTTTTCACTTCCACGTTACAAAGAAAGACAGTCTATATCGTACAGAATTTTAGGGAGTAACAATGGACCCGGTCTAAGTTCTTTTACTTTGAAGTCAGAGCACCACACAGGGCACGCTAGGAGACTGCAGAAGACAGCGACCAGCTCTGTCTCTGTGATGCACTATGTGTGCCATTTAGTCATTAACCCTTTGGAATAGATCTTAAACAAGCGCTGCCTATCTCTTTAAAACCCCAATAGAAAAGGATCAACAAATACTCACCTATATCTGTCTTCTGTCAAAACATGAACATGAATTCTGAGACGACTTTATTCACCTTCTATTGACTGATTGACGATCACGGAAACTGATCAATAATCAGCCAATGATGGAGAATTACATCAGAGTTTAATGGGACACTATATTGGTTGGAGAACCATTGGAAAACTTGGGAGTACTGGAAAACTGTCTCGTCCTATATTGGGACTCTTGATCAGTATACACTAACTGGGGTCGGAACCCAGGACCTTCTGGTTACAAGGGAGGCTCGCATGCCATTCGGCAGACTCTGAGACCCGATTCAATGGCCCATGAATTTTAACTTCGGCCAATTCATGATATAGCGCGTCCACTTTGCAATGTCTTCTGTCCAGCACTCCCAAGTTTTCCAATGGTTCTCTAACTGATGTCAGCTCATGATGAAATTTTTCGACGAAATTCCCAAAAGATCAGTACTTTGAACACTATATTAATAGTTAATCAATCCTAGCACTGAAGACCTCAAATTTAGTGTTTACATCGTGAAATGACAGCTTAAAAGCAACAAAAATGCCTTAACAAAAATATTCAGCTCTTCCAGGATTTTTCTTCTGAACGCAGTGGAGGAATCAAAGGTCAGTGAGAGTGGAAATCAAATACTAGCTTGTACAAACGATATTGGATATTGAATCCCAATTTAAGGCGCGCAGTTGGATTTCAATTATGACTGGTGACTCACGTGACTATCTGAGACAGTATGCTGACGCGGTAAATGTACAACTTTCTTTTATAATTTTGTCTCCGATTCTTTATGCGCATGCTTTGACTGTAGATATGGACTTTACTGACCTGGGTCTTGCATTAAACATGGCATGCGCCCTGCAGCAACACATCATATTCAGATGTCTAAGAAATTTGGGAGGCGTTATAGAGATGAGAAGGAGAGGTAATATGTTTCTCAAGACTTATCAATGATTTATTTTCAGGCACAAATACAGTAAGTGTTCAGGAAGCATATGTAACAGCTCAACAGAGTATGGACACCGAGGTGGATTCGCAACTAAGTGATGACGATCAAAACAGTGTTGTTGGCAGTGGTATGTATCACATTTTTGGGAGTGAACTTTACATTTGTATAAATGACCCTAAGATGGCAAGTCATTTGGAAAGCAAGTAAAACAGGGAGATAGTATTTGTTATTTCATTAGAATCAGAAAACCAGTCAACTAAGTGCAATGGTTTGGGTTAGATTGACTTCCTCGTCTTCAAAGTAGTCATCTTTTGACTGGGTGACTGCACATATCAGTTTGATACTTCATCAACTTGAGGGATTATATTACAATTAGAAAAAGTTGTGATCCTCAAATCTTTTTAGCTGCTGTCATGTGATTCTCTCGGCGAAAGTAAAGAATAGACACAGGAATGTACGCAAGATTGACCCTGGAAATCTTGATCTCAGCCAGGCAGCGAAATCAGTTGAATAACAGTGTACTCATAAGAGTACTAAATCCAGTAAGAACATCTGATTTTGCTAGTTTGAAGTCAGATTAGGGTTAGGTTAAGGCTGCGGTAGTGGCAGGCGGGAGTATATTACGCAGTGGTTGAGTTAAGGATCCGAGTTGACAGTCCCAAGGTCACTGGTGTGTTTGTCCCCCCGACTGTGTTCTTTAACTTCATTTCAGAATAAAAATATTTTTATCAGAATGATTTATAGTGACCGATTGTCTAACCGTCATCGCCTTAAGGCTGGAGATCTCAACCGTACATGTGCTGCGAAAAGATTAGAATAGGTGAGACAGATGAAATTACATTCTTAATCCAAAGTGCTGTCTGCTTTCTGTGTCAACTTGATGTATAATGACGATTATTCAGGATTTCACTAAGGAATGACCACTGTGCAGTATGCAGCACATTGCTGAAAATGTACTAATAATGCTGATCAAGGAGAAATTTAGGAGTCATATCTTGGGAAAAGTCAAAAAAATGTTCACTTTACACAGCAATTAGTAAGGACTCATTGATATCTGTGGGAAGGAGGAAATCCGTGAACTAAGTGAACATGATAATGAGATGATGACGAAGGGGGTACATTGTAAAGCGATTTGACCGGTTTACAGCCACGCTAAACTTGCCCAGCTATGTGGGTTGTAGACATCAGTCTTCCAAATATTAAACACAATGTTCACATACTTTCTCTTTTTGGTACTCTGATACTCCTATTCATCTTCTGGTCGAGGTCGAACAACCCTGCATCTAAACTGAAATGAGGATTAATTCCAAACCATCTACCTCATAACCACCCAAATTCCATGAACGATCCAATTCTACCATTTGAAGACGCTGGCGAACATGCTGTAAATGAGTATTCATGATCTGAAATGAAGAAGCAACTGGTTTTCAAACAGTTTTCAACATTTTTTCTGAACTTTCGAATGCAGTCCGCCATGCAGACACAAATGGAGCAAATGGAGAATTCTGGAATCGACCTCAGCGCCATTTGATGCAGTAAAACAACTTCACATGACCTCATCTAGTTTTCGCATCCCCGATCAAATTTCTTTCCTGTTATAATACTACGATAAGACTACTGAAATAATAGAATAAATACATCACTGATCTCAACATAATACATCAATAAACTTTGATCCGAGGGTGCTGTTCACAACAAAGTTATGTAAGAGGATTGACTTCAAGCTTTTTTTCCCAGATATTTGTATTACATTCATCTGATGTCTGGGTTTTTTTAATGCGAAGACAATATTTCTATATCTCTTTATGTGCTACACAAGCAGACTTTATAGCAGACTGTTCCGTCTGACTCTAATGTCAGAAAGAACAACCAAACGGTAAATTCATCACACATCAATTTGTGTAATTTATATAATAACATATCCATGCCTGTACAATTGGTATGTTCCTGCATAAACAGGGAGAAATATATATTATAAGTTACAGGTGTTCCTAATCTGCAACGCTTAAAAACAGAACTTAGTGATATAACTCCGGAGGTGTTTTAAGGTGATGATGAATTATGCACCGAGTTTACTAAGATATTAAGGAGTGTATAGGAATCCGAGACAGTTTCATCAGACTGGTTAGGGCTAGTCGTAAGGCCGATTGTGTTTCGCTGGTGTCTGTTCCATGTAAAAGTTCAGAAAATAATAATGACTAGGTCGGAAAATCCTCATGAAATTAGCCAACAGATATTTGAAGAAGAGGCATTTTCCATCGGCTCACCCTTCAACACGCTTAATTCTAATATTACAACTGATTGCCAATACCACTCATTTCATCCTTCATCAGGTTCTTTTGGGTAAGTTCCAAAACCCCAGTGTGTAAAATGCAGGTTTTTCTGATAGTTTTTACGTGCATTCTGTGATGTGAGCCACTTTTTACTGATGAACGATAATAGGCTTACTCCTCACGACACTATAGTGTTCTATTGACACCTATAGATATGTTTACTTACATCTAAAATGGAATATAATGTCATGGATTAAGATTGCATTCAAATGTATTTATTTGCATGAATTCTGCTTAAATAAGCGAAAGACGATGCTTCAATTTAGACAGTAGAATTTGAAGATTGTTTTCGTTTCGTGTATCACTGCGTTAATGTGTGGTACAGTGGTTAGGACTCTCGCCGATGAATATATATATATATATCTGTCTGTCTGGATTCAACATAGAACTTGGCACCGAAGTGCAGCAGTTCGAGTTGCCACGTTCGAAATAGCCCACAGAGGTAGACAAGAAGATGAGTGAAGAGAATTAATAGAGTTTGACAAGTATAAGAGTGAAACAGAATGGGTAATGGTAGAAAGGAATATGAAAGATTACAGAGACTGAATACATCTGCCCTGGCCATTGACAACGATTTTGAGCCATGTCACCTATTGTCTCCAGCCATTGATTCCTAGAGTCCCGAGGGCCCCAACCCGGAAGTCTGCATCTCCCTACCTGACTCAGTTTAACTGTCAAGGATTTCATTGATTGATGCCATGTTTTTGGCATATATATATATATTGGGAAATAAAAGTGAGAGTAGATGATATAGTTACGAATATTTGATCATTTGCCTGTTCTCATAACTTTGAATAGGCTGTGGAGCAGATCCATACATTGATTTCTAGTGTGAAATGCGGTGAAGCAGAGGAACCTGATGTAACTCCAGAGGTGTTTAAAGATGGTGATGAACTCGGCACCAAGTCAACAAAGGTATTAAGGAGTATGTGGGGATCCGAGACAGTCCCGTTAGACTGGCTAGAGTTGTCAGGATGCTGAGTACCAATAGCTGGAGACTGTCGGTGAACACAGCTCAAAATTGCTCTTAATGGCGCAGATGCATCCACCCTTTTTAATCTTCCAAATCCACTAAACCGTCATTTTTCCATGTTACTATTCTTTCTCTCGTACATTTCTGCTTTATATGGTTCTTTTGAATTTTTTTCTCGAGTTTGGTTTGTAAGGAATAGATTTGTTCATACAGGTTTGATCACGAGCTTGCTTTGTAACTGGAAGGTCCTGGGTCAAACCACAGTGGGTGCGTGCTGCCTATGATTCCCAAACTAGGATGAAACAGCTGTCCAGTACTCCCTCGTTTTTAATGGTTCTCTAGCTGATATCAATCTGTTTTTCTCTTTTTCCTGCCTTTGTGTGCTGCATGGAGTGTGGCAACTTGAACTGGTGCACTTCTGTACAAAGTTCTATGTTGAAACTAGGCTAGTTAGTCAGTTCTGTTAGACTGGTGTAAATTCTTGATTATCCCAGAGACAATCAAGGTTGGAGGAGAGTGGTGGAAATTGGCTTGACTAACAACATCTAGAACTCTAGGTCCAGAAATCTCTTGTAGACTGTGTTGCTCAGGAGAAACAAACTCCGAGGGACGAAGCAGGCTTTAGGTTCGGACGATGTTGTATTGGTCTTATCTTCGGCCTTCAATAAACATAGACATACTTGCTGGTGTCCGACACTTTCCATATCTCCACCTGAGGGCGACATTCTATTCTGTTGAATGAAAGATGCCGTGGCAATGTCTGATGGTGAAGAAAGTGCCGAGAAAGAACACTACACCAATGAGAGCATTCTACTGGAAATCACACAGCCGTGCAAGAGCATACGGAAAGTTGTCATCTGAGGACCAGTGATGTCCGTCAGGGATGCCCAGTGTCTCCATTTTTGTTTAATTTCATCGTATAAACACTGATAAATGCAACCGTAATTGACTTTATCGACTTGTTGTAAGGAGCAGTCTCATTTCTATATAGTATGCAAATGATATTGTTCTTGTAGGTAAATCTGGTGACGATATGTGGAGTCTTCTGAACACGTTGAGCAAAAATCTTAGTATGTTTGACATGTGATTCGCTTCTGTGAAATGTAAGATAATTCTAGATGAGCGTTGTGCATCGGTAGGAAGTAAAGTGGTTGGGCGTGTTGACCACTACATTTATTCGAGAAGTTGCATCAGCATTAATGTAGTGATTGCTGACGAAAGCTCAGCACAGATACGAAAGGCTTGTGTGCATTTGCTAGCTTAAGTTATCCTTGGTGTTGGCGTGATGTTTGGCTATCGAAAAAAGATATGTAGTGCTCAGCAGTTCGCTTTTCCTCTCTCTCTCTCTCTCTCTAAGACTGAGACGGGGCCGTAAAAGGAGGAGAATAAGAAAAGATCGGCTGTGCATGGCCATAATTGTTCGCGTCCTGTCTCCCGTGTTAAATGGCATAATATGGTGATTTATATAGAGGTTGGGTGTAGAAAGTTAGGTGAGAGAGGCAAGTCAACTGCTAAAGTTCTGGAGCTGGATCAATTGAGATGGTTAGGACATGTGTTATGTATTTGGGGCCATCACCTTCCTTGTCAAGCAGTCTTAACCGACCTGAGGTTAAGTTGGAAGAGAGTTAGTTGTGGTGCAGTCAAAACTTGACATCAATGCTTGGTGCCTTTGACCGGTGGTTTGAGTCACGTAATGAGATGTGGACTGTCTGGCTGTATTTCTCGAGATGTAAGACTGTTGATGATATGACTGAGAGTCGTTGTTAATTGCATAGTTGCATTCGCTGTTTATAATGTCTCAGAGCCATTAAGTCTTCGTTATTTCCAATATAATTATTCATTATTTTGCAAATTTCCTTTTCCAATAGGTCCTTTCTCTTTTTCAATTTTTGCGCCTCATGGAGCGTGGCAACCTAAACTGCCTCACTTTTGTCGTAAAGTTTCATATCGAAAACTCAAACAGTCAGTAAGTGGTAGTGTGCATTTAGCGCTACAGGTGTTCCTATCCGGTAAGCTGGCAAACTCATTAGGAATTTTAAGCAAGTGGATAATTGGACTTGTGAAATGCTTCTTTAAACGGTAATACATGTGCAAAGTCAACTATGAGCTGTCAGAGGTAGTTTTCTGTGTTGAGCTTTAGTTAATGTACTAGCGTGTATTGACTAACAACTTGGAAATGGAGATCAGCTTCATGCTTTCTCTATGACCATCTCTAATATCCTTGTGATGGTAGCAGTATTTAGATCTAAATAGCATATTGTCATAACTTATAATTTCTCACTAGTTAGTTTTTATAGATATTTATCGTTTTTGCAGGACAACTTTCTTCTGCGACATTTCGTCACACAATAGAACTATGTACCTTATTTTCTACTATGGTCACACGAATGTCCTTATGTAGAGTAGTCACTGACTGGTTGGTGAAAACAAAGTTGCAGAAATACTTTGGCAGTGGGAGTTAATTAATCCCTGACAAGCGGAATTCACTACCAGGCTTCAGCTGCATACAGTTGTTTTAGACTTGCAATCAATAAGGGTGACAGTACAAAGTTAAAAATTAAGAGGTAAATTCAGTGTGAACTTGTTGATGTTAAGAAATTCTAACTGAAGTGAATTTCGTTTTTATATATTAATCACATTTTAGAGAATATTGAGAATGGAGAGACAACAAATAATCATCATTTTTGTGGATCATCGAATCAGGTAGAGGATGATACAGTACCTGCTAACAGTCAAATGAGCAGTACCTGCAGTAGTTCTACTTCCCAACAAGCATACGAATCATCAAGTGATGAACACGAGTTAACTGCTATAGACAAAGTATGTGAATGCTTACGTGGTAGTGTTGTCGTCAGTGACTCAACAGATTGTCTTGCCTGTAAACTGAGAAATGAGGTTTACTATGAAACGAACGTCACCACGGTTTGCGCAGCGTGCCCGGGAGTCCCTCGTCTTTGTTCAATGCAATGTTTTCTATGGTGGCACAATTTTCATATGCCGACATCCCGCACTCAACCAACAACAACAATCCGATCCGAACAAACCGGTACAAGAATAAGAGAATCAAATGACCAAGTTATGGTTTCAGAGTCCCAGGTAACTGATCAATCGAGTGAATTTAGAGCGTCTGAGGAATCAGTCCTCCAACCTTGCACAGCATCCGTACGTCGGGTAGTCGGAAAAAGAAGACGACGTAAAGCATCCCGATATCGTTATGTGAGAAGGAAAGTCCAGCCTAAAAGTAAATCCAGTCGTCCATCATAAACACACTAAGATAATTCTGATGGACGCTATTTTTTAATTTATTGAAGAAATGAGTGTACATAATAATAATAATAAAAGTTTCTTTGTTAAATATATAAGTGTGATTAAACCGAGCATATACACAATATTTTCGTATTTCTTCCCATTCAGATCAAAAATCAATATCGCAATTTCACGGGCTGATGGTTATTCTTGGAAAAAAATTTTGGTTCATAGTGTACCGTACGCACTACATAAGTTGATTACGTTCTTTGCGAATATCCACAGCCAACAACTGAAATAATTTGTGACAGTATAGAAAGATAAACACAATTGAATCACAATAATTTAATTACGAATTTAATTCTGACAAGGCGAAAATAATAAAGTATAACAGGCAATTAGAAATCTTGAGTATTTCAGAAAACATACAAGTTTACTTAATAAACCTTTGAAATCCACCTACTAGAGCCGGTATTTTTGTTGAAGCTATCTATGAATGTCCTTATATCGGAAATAAGTAAATAGAACTTCCATGAAAGAAACACATCAAATTGCGATGAAGTTGAGGATAATTCAGGGTCAATCTTCGAGATGACTTGTTTTAATATGATGAGAAAGTAATATTGTATTAGTTGTGTGCATAAGCAGTGGTGTAGCTGACTAGACTGTGCACCCAACTTCTACTCAGTTTGCCACGGATTTAAATGCCCCCTCAACCCGCCGGTAGCTTAGATATTGTGACCTGTCAGAAGTCTAAATCGGGCTCATTACTAAGAGGATTAACATATATTCAGTTATTGGGTGATCTACCATAACATGTAGTTTGGGACGTATTATTGACTTCTGTTAAAATACAAGGCTGGAAAATGTGTTTGAGTGCAAAATTCATGGTGACACGCTGAAAACTGAATAACCAAATCACTGAAGGTCTTCAAAACACGTTAGTTGATAACCATATAATAATAATAATAACAGCTTTATTCCAAACAGTATTTGTGGTACAGGTATGGAATTTTCAGCGTGCATTACAGTATATTGCATCTAATTACCTCATAAATTATATAAGATTTTTAAAAATCAAAGATAAATAAATAAAAATAAAATAAATTAGTTATAAATAAATAAAATAAATAAATGTTAAAAATTAAGAAAAAAAACAAACAACGTAGAGTATTTCATTTCAAACAATGCAACACAGGATTTGAAATATAAAGTTGATGTGTGGTACTAGATGAGAACAACAGTGTGATAGTAACGAGGAAAGGAAAACAAAAACTAATGGGACTATTTGTTAGAGTGCCGCAGTAAGTTTATCGTGTCATACCTAACGGATTTCTCATCACATAACAGCTGTGCCAGATATGGTATTGTGGAGTTTTTGTATTTGGTAGTCCTAGCATATAGCCTCCTGTAGCTGCTTCTAGTTCTTCCAGATGAAATGCAAGGAGACAGCTGCGTATAGAGAGGATGCTTGGGGTCCGACAATATTGTATTCGCTAGTTTCTTACATGACATAATATGTCTATCTACAATAGTGTTCACCAGTTGGTTTAACGATATCCCACTTGCCCTACTAACAGCTTTTAGTGCCCTTCTCAGCGAAGCAAAGTCTTTCTTAAGTAGTCCAGGAAAGACTAATGGGGAGCAGTAAAGGAGGATGGGTAGAATACAAGAATTTACAAACTGAGAAAGTAAAGACTGGTTTATGCCAGACTGCCTAAATTTCCTAATGTAGATCGTTAAGCGAAACATCTTTCTAGTAACTAGCAAGATGTGGGAAGACCAGGAAAGATCGGTGGAAAAACTCAGCCCAAGGTACTTAACATAAGATGTATTTTCAACCTCTGTGTCGTCAATGAGAGTGGGGCCATGTGAGCTAACTAGTTGCTGTAGGTCACATTTACGTCTGAAAGTGAAATTGACTAACTGACATTTAGACGGATTAAGCTTAAGTCCGTTTGAAGAGGACCACTGACTAATTTCCGACAGAAAGCTATTTAATTTGGAACAATCTGACTGAGAGTTGACAGGCATAGAAACCGGGAGGTCATCGGCATATTTAACAAAAGTGGCTACATCAGAATGAGGCAAGTCATGTAAGAAAAACGAGAACAGAAAGGGAGAAAGAACAGCACCTTGAGGAACACCAGCTAAAGTAAGTGAGGTAGTGGAGGATTTTCCATTGTAGACGGTGTACTGCTTCCTTTCAGAAAAATAGGAATGCAACCACTTATTTGTCCAGCTTTCAGCCTGTGTTGCAGCAAGCTTACTTAGCAAGAGAGACCTGGGAACAGAGTCAAATGCAGATGTGTAATCAAGGAAGGCACAGCGAACATATTTAGCTCCTTTATCTAAACTAGAGACTATGCTATGGTGGAGGACGACAGCGGCATCTAACGTACTCCTACTATGTTTATAAGCAAACTGGTTGGGGTCGTTGAAAGGTTTTAAAGAGGGATCAAGATTAAGTAAAATAAGTCTTTCCATAACTTTCAAAAAGGGTGAGGTAATTGAAATGGGTCTAAACTTAACATTAGGTCCACTTGTAGATTTAGGCACTGGAACGATCTTGATGTTTTTCCATGATTCAGGTATAATATATTATTCTATCTAGAAAGTTACATGTCACTGTCTGGTGGAAATAAACCACTATTGTTTTCAGGTGAACCTGTTGTAGCAACTGGCGTCCATATACCAAATAACAAAATTCATTGATCAGGATTTCAAAACTGCTCACTTATTTTATAGTCGTCTAGTATCTACCTTTGAGGCATTTGTTTACACACTATAAATGCAGCTGTCTCGGATTTATTGTAAATTTCAACATTTCTGACGAAAGTAGCGCAGACTTCCCTTTATATACGGTGTACTGCTTTCTTTCTGAGAGATAGGAATCTAACCTGTTAACAGCCCAACATTCTGTTTGACTAGCTGCAAGCACTTCAAGAAGAATAGAAGGGAGCGTTTAGTCCAAATTAGAAGTAGGACATTGAAGAGATTCAAAATGAGAGATTTATATTTGGAATAATTACAATATATCGTTATATATGCCAAATTACGATCTAAGGACTTCTCAGGAGTGTCCAGAATGCAAACAATGTCTTGAAGAGATAATAACTTCACGCAACTTCAATTATCGCTTGACCATTATTTTCAGAGATCCTTAAATAAGTATAATATACACAGTGGTCTGGCCAAACATGATAAAAACGGCATGGTTGATGCAGCACATACGTACACTTTTGTATATGTAGGTAAACCTAGATGAACTGTGTTCTTGTCACAAAGATCGGAAAGCAGGTACCAGATGTCTCAGTAAGCAGTTTAATACATGTAAGCTACATGTTTTTATTTGACATAAACTGGATCTCCACTCACTTTCAGAATTAATCTTAAATTCAGTTGTAAAAAGCTTGTTGAGCACATCAGTATTGAGAGAATACAGTGAAAGTAAGTAAACACATGCTTCTTAAGATTAAGTGATACATTTATTTGATATGATGTATTATTATCAGTAGTCTATCTAAGTTAATGATGAATTCGTTGCGATAATAATAACTATTATTGTTTTTATAGTCACTATGAACATGAACGTTATTATTATTGCTGTGAAGACCTATTATTTGTCATAAAGTTGTCATTTTTGCTAAAGTATTTGTACAAGCTTTGGAAACATACACGCTAGATGAAAGTTTCACAAAGTTGTCTCGCTACTATACAACGTCTCATTCACCATTTTTCCTCTGCATTTGAACGTAGTCACATACTGGTATGTGAAAAAGTCGTTACTGTTAGCAATTTACAAGGTCCTTACGTTTTGAAAGTCTTCTAATACGTTTGCAGCCTCTTACACATGTGCTGCTTCCACTCTCACTGATTACCTGCAATGAACTTCTATAAAAAGACTTCATTAACGAAGCACATTATTGCCACAGCTTGTCACAGTTAATTCGCAAGAAACACAGAATACTAGACTGTGTGAGTGAGAAATATTGAAGTAGAAAATAAATTGTGTTTAAGGAAAACTCAAGAAATACATTAGGACCCACGGGATTGCAGCCACCGTTGACCACCATAGTGGCTGAGCAGTTTCAACAGACTGTCCACCGAAAAGATCTTTGTTTCTTTTACAGAACTGTTTTCATTTTTGAGGACTTCAACCTCTCAGAAAGCAACTGAGATTTATTGATTGGCCGAAGCTTATATGAAATCCTCTTAGGTATATTGGACATTTTCGTTGCGATCCAACTTTCATTATCCTTACAAGAAGTGCCAGCGTACTGGACTTAATATTCTGTTACGCTTTATGTCCCCTCTCAATCTTACTGGACTCTAAGTTTTCAGGGAGTTACCACAAAACTGTGATGTGTGCACTGCCACTCCCACTGAGTAGCAATGGAACTCATACCTCCACTTCACAATAAGTAATATATAAGAAATATAGTAGGGCAAACTGTGCTTTCGTAGTATCAATGCTAAGATCCTCTGAATGGGATGAATACTTCACAACTGATGCCTTCTTGATGTTCAAAAGTGCCTCAAGTCTCTAAACCCTTCCCAGAGCTTAGGTCCCGATTATGTACATAGTATTATGTTTAAAAAATGTTCTGATATTCTGTGTCACCCTCTCACTGATCTATTTAACAAATCTTTTTCCGATAATATTGTGCCTGCCGTTTGGAAGGAAATTAAAGTTGTACCCGTACCTAAATCTTCTACTGGAGCATGTGTCAAATTTAGACCCATTGCTATTACCTCTCCTGTTTTGAAAACTATGGAGAAATTACTTTTACTTAGTCTTGTACCTTCGCTTAAATCCTTTAATGACCCTAAACAATTTGCCTATAAGCACAGTAGAAGCACTTTAGATGCAGCTGCCGTCTTATACCATGACATTGCTTCCAGGCTAGACAAGAGGGCTAAATTTGTTCGTTGTGCCTTCCTAGACTATACATCTGCTTTTGACTCGGTCCCTAGGGACATCTTATTAAATAAACTTGCAGCCAGTCAAACAGAATGTTGGGCTGTTAACTGGTTACATTCCTATTTCTCAGAAATAAAGCAGTACACCGTATATAAAGGGAAGTCTTCCACTTCATTGCCTACTGAAGCTGGTGTCCCTCAAGGCACTGTCCTTTCTCCTTTTCTTTTTTCTTTCTTCTTGCACGACTCGCCTCACTCTGATGAAATAAGCTTTGTGAAGTACGCTGATGATTTAACGGTTTCAATGGCTGTTAACTCCCAGCTAGATTGCACCAAAATAAATAGCTTTCTATCGGGAGTCAGTAAAAGGTCTGAGTCTAATGGTCTTAAACTGAATCCTTCTAAGTGTCGAACTGTTGATTTCAGCTTAAGATGTAAATGACAGTTAAAAGAAGTCATCGATTCTCGTGACAGTTGTAAAATTGACGACAATGATATAGGAATCAAATCAGAAATTAAGTATCTTGGACTCATTCTCTCTTCTGATCTCTCCTGGTCTTCCCATGTGTTAGCAATCTCCAGTAAAATATTCCGCCTGACATTTTACATTAAGAAGTTAAGACACTCGGGTATAACTCAACCACTCCTCTTACAGTTCATAAACTCTTGCATCCTACCTATTCTTCTTTATTGTCCACCCTTATTCTTTCCTGGTTTGCTTAAAAAAGACTATATCACAATTCGTAGAATACTGAAGACTGTCAGTAGGGTGAGTGGTGTCCCAGTGGACCTCATAGTTAACGTCGTTGTCGATAGGCACTTGACTTCGTGCAATAAATTTGCTAAAGGGATTTTGTCTAACTTGGAGCATCCGCTTTACCCTCAGCTTTCACCTTGCATCTCCTCAGGTAGAACAAGGAGTAACTTCAGAAAACTGTATGCTCGCACATCTAAGTACAAAAATTCTATGATACCATACTTGGCACGTATTTTATGTGATGAAAATAGTGTCAGACAAGAATTAACTAACCTTTTTTCATCTAGTAAATAAACAATTTCCTCCATCCATCCTTATATACCTTCAAGTTTTACTTTTATTATTTCTGTTATATTTATGGTCCTGTTACTTTTCTGTTTTCTACTCTCAGAATTGCAAACACCAACTTATCTCCATGACGGCTGTAATCTTTGTTTTTCCCTCACCATATCATGTAAAAAGAACATTATATTCAATATTTTTAAACATGTTAGGATTTCTATATCACATTGACAATACTGTGTGACACAAGCCAACGGCATTTTTCACTTGTATTCTTATTATTATTACCCTAGCTGTTATCATTATTATTGTTATTTCCATTTTATATGCTGCATGTTTTTGACACTACCTCTATTGTAAATGTGGAAAATTTTCTGAGTGATTAATTTTTATTTATAATTTGAGGAAATTAGATGCAATAACATTGTGATTAATGCTGAAAATTCTATTCTGTATCACAAGTACTGTTTTTGAATAAAGCAAATCATTATTAATTATTATTGAGAGCTCCAAGAATCTTCTGCCAGAAGTCGAACACATGCTTAGATGCTGCCATTCCACTCCAAACACTAGAGGTTTCCCACATAGAAAGTCATTTATAAAACGATAGGATCGTACGAAACTGAAGAGACTATCGACACTTACTTCAAACACCACGATTTGGCACGCTAGGTTTAATACTTAACACCCTTAGCTCCATCTCACAAGTTCCAGATTTGAGTATGAGAAATGACGAACGCACCGCAGTAGTCAGTCCTGCTAGGGTGTATGCTCTCATAGAAATCCCACAGAAACGATTGAACCGCAAAACCCCATAGAAAAAGTATGCTATGCAATAATTCTGCAGACATGTGTGAATTACTAAACAAAACGAGATTTTGAGCGAACAATTGTTTTCGATAACTTCTTCTTCAGGCTCTACAGTTATAAATCCATGAATAATAGAGTATATATAGCCAGTAAAGGCAAATGAAAATAATACCAGAAACTGTTTTGTGGTACCTTACATTCCTTCGATGGTCTCTCGAAAGTTTGAGGCAGAATACTCATAGCCTCAGAGTATCCTTCGTTAGGGGGCATGAACTTACAGCACTGTATATCTCCTGAAGCAACTCCAGCGCACTACCTCATCAAATACATCAACTTCATTTCATCATTTAATAAAAAACTACTCAACATGACTTCAAACTCCTTTACAAACTGTAAATAGTCAGCTGGGTTTCCGTCGGAACACCGAGGCTCAAATTTAGGCCTATTATCCCTAGACGGCGAAACATGAACAACAGACCCATCATGCTGAGCATCATACATATCATTACAATTATCAAACAACTCAGCATCACTTACTTTCCTGCCTGCTTCCAAGACTCTCTATCTCTTCTTTGACCCAGGCATCATTGAATTTAACCAAAATTCCAGAAAAGTTCCAGATAATACCTGTCTAAAGAAGACTAGAAGGCACCGGGAAAGACGAACGGAAACTATCCAAAAACTATCAGAATCTGTCAGCCAAGTCTCATAAACTGTCAGTGACTGGTACAAAAGTATGATGCTTAATAATGTATGTTTATACCATCATAAAATGTAATACAAGTCTCTAATAATTTTGAGCCCGTGAATGTCATTTGCATGTATGAATCATGGGGTAGCATCGACAGTT